GTGTTTTGCTCTAGGTTGTTTAACCAGTTTGTATTGAAATCTTTTCCTAACACTGTATTGCATGAATAGCCCTGGTACGACTTTTCTCCTACAGCTGAAGTTCTTTAGCTCATTATCATCATCTTGTGCCTTCGCTGGAGTGTAAGGGCAGTCTTACTGTACTTTTCTGTTTTAAACGTTAATGGGTGTCGTGGTCTTGTATGAATTATGTTCCCATGTGGTTTTCATTCCTCCACTGGGTTTCATTCAAACATGGTGCTTTTTGTCTTAAGTTTTCAAGTCCTATTAGGTGCTTACTCTCTTAAAAATCTGTCCTCCAGGACTCCTATACTAACTGGCAAGTGTTAATTTTCATTAGCTCCTTATTGAATTTCCCAAGACAGTCTTATTTATGGCAGTCTCAGCTGCCATTTTATTTTCTAATTCTTTCTTTTTATACTCCTGTTCTTTGTTCCACAGTAAAAACAAAACAAAACACACCCCCTCCCCAAACCCAACACCACCTCCTCCCTCCACCCACAAAAAAATAAACCCCAACCAAACCCCAAAAGCACAAACCTGAAAAATAGCTCCCAAAACAAGGGTGAGGGAGGCGGGAAAATCCTTATGTTGCCTGCACTGAGACTTCTCCCTACTATAACTAGTGTGTCTTGGCATGTCCTTAAAATCCTCATGAGCATCTCTGTGCTTGGCTGTTGCAGTTGTAGATGGTTAGTATTTTGGGTTTGGTACTACATGTTCCCGGTTTTCTGCTAGGGCTGTTAAAGAAATCATTTTCTACAAAATCATTAAGGCACTTTTTCTGAAGTAGTATTTTAGAGTATATTTGTGGGTAAGCGTGTGAGTCCCATTTCAATATTGTAACAGGAGAGCTTCACTGAAATATGGATGTAGGTTGTAGGGGTTGAAAGGGGTTGCTAGGCATCCTGTAGCTGATGGGTGTAAAGGATCAGCAATTGTCAACCTACTGCTGGAGTCACCTGAAAAAAAAGAAAAAAGTTAGGAGTCCTAGCTCTGTTTCCTAGGACAGGGGAAGCAATTGAATCTGGAATTGTTTATATGACAGAGGCTAGTATAAACCATGAGCATATATATATATATATATATATGCGAGCTTTGTTATCCTCTTTTACTGCAAAACCTCTAAATTACTTCTGACTGTTGACTGGTTTAATAACATAAGTTCTGTTTGTGGTGTTGTCAGCTCAGTGGAAGAACTTTTATTTGTGACCAGTTTCAATGCAGAGCGTATCTATGAGCAGAAAGAATTCTGAAGGAGCAATTTATTCTCATGAAAATTAAATTGTAACCAAGCTGTAAAAGCTAACTTATTTTTTTGTTTGCTGTTATTCATGCATTGCTGAGGTATCTGAAATTTTCCTTGAATATTCATACAAGATAGATTTTGCCTAATTTTGTAAGAAGTACAGATCTTTTTCTCAGATTAAAAATATTCAGAAAAATTGTCGAAACCAGATATGTAATCTTAACATCATTGAGACTTTCTCATGCTATTCACCAGTAATCCACCCTGTTGATACCAGTTAAGTCAAGAGTACTGCTTGGTGGAAGAATATAGCTTAAATCAGAGTCAGGTAAGAGGAAGAAGGTTTCCTATCTGAATAAATATTAGACCACTTTCCAACTGATTTTTTTCATTTCATAGAAACAGAGTAATTATTTGTAATCTCTACCTTAGTTTGTTTCGTTTTTGTCACATTCCAGGTCGGAGACTCCACCAATAGAACAATGTAACTATGGCATTATACTGTACCAGTCTAAATAATACTCACATCTTTCAGAAATGCTAATGTCTTTGCAAAGAGAACCATTTTATTTTGGTGTGTAAGTGATTTTACAATCTGGTAAATGCAGTGTATAGTCTCTTTCACTTTACTTGCCTGTGTAAGTAGCTAGCTCCCCCTCCCCCTATTTTTTTTTTTCCCCTCTGTCTACACTAGAATAGTCAGATTTTTTCCCGTAATATTGATTCTTTATTTGATATAGCTCCATCTGTCCCAATTGTCTGAAATTGTTTAAAAACATTAATGAATGAAGTTTCAGAACACTGAGGAAAATATATTTCAGTCTGGAGGAGCTCTGGGTTTTTTGATACATGCCTTGGAGAAAGAACTCCAAGTCTTCTTGTAATGTGGTTTAAACCACATTAACTTTCTCTCCAGGATATTTTGCTTATTAGTATTGGAAGAAAGGGTGAAAAGTGTATTGGTGGCTGGATAGTATTTAGGGATGTATCACTGCAAATCTGTATTCACTTAAATTATTTCTCAGGCATCCATGATTGGGAGATGCTAGAGACAATATAATGAGCTAGATGCTTGGTTCAACCCAATAGACCGTTTGCAGTAAGCTGAGAGAATTTTCCTCTGGAAGGGAAAAAAAAAGAAAAGAGAGAGCGCAGATGCATAAAGGGCAGGCTTTTGTGCGTTGGGTAAAGAGTAAATAATTTGTAAGAAGTAATGCAGGTTTCTAGATTATAGAAACTGGTAACTGTGATACAGATAACTTTTTCTAATTTTGACTTTATGTAATTTACCTGGCTTTAAATTGGTGTTTTTTGCATTTTAAGTGTTGTATCTACTACTGTATGTGCAGCATCGTCTTTTTTTGAGACATTAGTCTATGCATGTGAGAGATTATTGCCTAGAAAAAGTTACCCGTGTGCATGACTCCAGCCATTAGATGTTTAAAATACTGTACAAAGAAATAAAACGTCCAGTAAGAAATTCACTCATTTAGAAGACATGCTCAGGGGATTAATCTTGTCTTTAAATGAAATAAAATTAAATTTTAAAAATTACCAGCAGTAGGATATAAGGCCGGTCAGTAAAACACTCTTGCAGTCCCAGTGACAGTGAAGGAATGCCTCTGCAGGAATTGGAGTTAAATGAGAGTAGGCTGTAGTGGAGAGGGCTAGAGGTATGTGGAATAGAGGCGAACTGGAAAGGTAAACTGCTGTTTAGCCTTTAACAGTTAAAAAAAAATCAAAGCCAAAACCAAAACACAAACAAACAAAAAACCCCACCAAAAACAACCAACCAAACAAAACAATGTTCAACTGACTTCATGGTACAACATATAGTTAATTTTTAGAAGTCAGTGTTCTGGAATTGTGGAGGCCAAAAGCTTAAAAACCCCTTTCAAAGACACTGTGGTGTATAGAATAATAGAACAGAATCATAGAATGGTTTGGGTTGGAAGGGACCTTAAAGACCATCCAACCCCGCTGCCATGGGCAGGGACACCTTCCACTAGACCAGGTTGCTCAAAGCCTCATCCAGCCTGGCCTTGAACACTCCCAGGGCTGGGGCATCCACAGCTTCTCTGGGCACCCTGTTCCAGTGCCTCACCACCCTCTCTGTGAAGAACTTCTTCCTGATATCCAATCTAAACCTCCCCACTTTCAATTTACACCCATTACCCCTTGTCCTGTCACTACAGGCCCTTGTAAAAGTCCCCCCCAGCTTCCTTGTAGCCCCTTCAGGTACTGGAAGGTGCTGTAAGGTCTCCCCAGAGCCTTCTCTTCTCCAGGCTGAACAAGCCCAATTCTCACAGCCTTTCAGCAAAGGAGAGGTGCTTTCCTACTTCTCTACTGCAGGAGTCTTGTCTTCTGCTGTTGGGTATTGTGTTCAGATTTTTCTCAGTCACCTTCCTACCATTTCTCTTTAGGGTGGTTCTCCTGGCACATACAGAGGTAGAGAAATTGAGGAGGTTACATACTGCAGTCTTAATGCGTGATTTAACCCCATTTCTTATGGTGTGCTGTGGTAATGAGTAGCTAGCTAGCTGGGTATGTTTGCTTGATGATCAGCCCTTAATGACTGGCATCTAATGTTTATAGTTGAGCTTACCAGTCAACATTCACTGACATGAATGTTAGAATAACTTCTTTGGTGTTATCTTAAGAGAAATCTCTGCAAACGGTTATCTTCTATATTTGTGTGCTGGTCTTTTCCGTGGGAGAAGGATGTGCTGGGCAGGGTTCCTGTAGCCATATGTATAAGACCACTGGAACCTCCTGGTAAATACTGACTAAACTGCTAGAGGTTGAATAAAACTTAGGTGGATGAAATACAGGGTGATGTATTTAAGTGGTAATAAGTATATATTATTATGAAATGGTAGTGTTGAAAATGATAGCATAAAAAATGCTGGTTGCTAGCAAGGTGGTTCAGCACGCTTAACGTTTTTCATCCACATCTATATGTGTTTCTTTAGAATACCGTTTGTTAAAAATAATTCTGCAGATTATTTGCAGAGAAGTAGGAAGCAGAGGAATTTGAGGCCGAAGGAATGTTGGGGGAGAAGGGGATGAGAGGGAGGGAAAAGGGGTGTGGGGGTAGTGGGGCCAAACTCCCATTGCGTTGTCTACCTGGGCAGATGTGTACCACTGCTGAATAAGAGGAAGCTTTCCACTGGCAGCCTGCACAAAAATGTAGTAGGTAGCATTTTAAGGTGGCCACAGAAAAAATGAATAGAATTCCATGAATAATCATTAGCAATAATTCCATTAAAAAAAAAAAAACCACCACAAAAACAAAAAAAACCAACCACCTTAACTTTTACAAGCCATTGGTAAGAACCTTATATTGTTTCTAGTTTGGGTTATTTGTTTTCACACTAGGCACTGAATTTACTGGAGGTGAGTCACTTGGAGGTGAAGTTTCATCCAGGCCTTTTTATTAATTGTATGTGTATTTATTACTTGTGTTAGTACCTCTTGTTCCTTCATTGCTTCTCTAGTTCAGAAGCTGTTTCCCCATTCTGCAGAATTCTTAATATTTGAGTGCTTGAGTCAGTACAGCCATTCGTTTTGATGTTAATTTTGATATCTTTAAACTATGGCAAAGTGCATTGTGCTATATTTTTAATATAGAATTGTATGAAGTATATCTAGATAATTTTCTTGCAAGTAAGGTTTTGACTTAATAAAAATTTGAACTTTGTGAAAAGTAACAATTCTTCTTTGTTTTGTGTAGGGGAAAATGCAGTGTTGCACTTCTGAATGAGACCGAGTCTGTGCTGTCATATCTGGAGAAAGAGGTAATATGTGACTTCTATTTGGGTAAATATCGGGATGAATTTTTTTTTCTGGTTGTATTTTTAACAAATGAGCAAACAATACTTTGAAAATATTTCCTTGAATGATAAGTTAGAAAAATTATATTGTGGAAAGCACTGATTTAGAAAGTGTTATTGGATAAATACTGAATTGACAGTTTTAAATGATGGCCTTATTATGAATAAGGTTGTATTTAGAAAATAATTGATTTTAAGTAATTCTTAAGGTATCTTACAAGAGAAAAATACACAGACTTTTTCCTGTAGTGTATACTTATGTTAAAATTCACAGGGCTTTTTTGTTTGGTTGGTTTTTCTACTTTGTTCTTTTTTTTTTTTCTTCTTTTTTTTTTTTTCCCCCTAGAGGTATTCTAGAAACAATCTTCAGTAGTCAGTGGACAGAAAGAGCAAGAAAGGCTTTTTTAGTGGGCAGCTTAGCATTGGAGTTTAAATTAAAGGTCTCTGAATTATTGTACGGAAAGTGTCTACTCACTTTAATTTTCTGTAGAAGGAATTTAGGGGCTTAGCCTTACCAGAGAGGAAGAAAATTCCCCAAAAATTTGAAAGATAACTGCGTTGCAAAATAACTTTAAAAATAAATATATTTTCCTTTGGATTGTCTTAATATAACATTAGCCAGACAGTATTTTTTAAGATGAAATTATCATGTCTCTATTTTTAAATTTCTATACCAAACCCACTGATAATCAGTGAAAATGTTTCTGAAAACAGGACTTAACCTATACTACAGATGACTGTACCAGATATGCCAATACTATTTTTGTGTAAGCCCTTTTCAGACACTGACAGTGTTTTACGCTTTCTGAGACTAATTTATAATGCAAAGTTAGTAAGTTAGAGGTATTTAGGAGATGAAACATGTTAAATTCTGAAAGCGGTTAACATTAATTCTTTTCAAATCCACTGATACATTTTTGTTTATGAATCTCTTCATTATTGCTCTGTTCTGAAATAACTCCTAGAAATGAGAGAAGCTTCAATTAGCCATTTAAAAGCACTCATGAAACATCTGCATTATTTAAAATAAGGATTAATGGACCAAACCTGTGCTCTGTAAAAGCGTGAGTGGGGTTACTTCAATAATTTCCAAATGGAAGGTGATACAGATTTATAAACCTAATTTTAAAAATCATTATGCTGTTGCAAATGTGTGTTCTTTTTTAGGATACTTTTTTTTATTCATTGGTATACGATCCATCACTGAAAACGCTTTTAGCAGACAAGGGAGAAATCAGAGTGGGGCCTAGATATCAAGCAGATGTGCCAGACATGCTTGCAGAAGGTAAATATATGATCTTTGACTAATCAAAAAAAATCCTCATCTTGCATTATTACTTATGCTTTCTGAACCAACCACCATAGAGAAAGTAAAGTAGTAGGTCTTAGCAAATTGACGAATACCTGTAGATAATATGAAGAAAGAAAGGAAGGATACTTGAATAGCTGTTGAAAAGACATGTCCATTTCAAGGTTGTGTGTAACATGAATTAGGCTTTCAATGTTTGTATATGTAATTGTATCTTCTAGGTCTTTGATATAGGCCTCATGGAAGGACATTGAGGGCCAACCCATTTTCTAGAATAACAAAATAAAAATAATAAGTGAAAAACATATTCTTTCTCTCCCTTTTAAAACAGGCATAGAGAATTTGTCTTTGTTTTTATTTTAAAATACTGGCTTCCAACAGAGCATCTTGTCTGTTTTGTAGCAGGACTGAAACATGCTTCAAGCCTTGGCATATCTTTAAAAAAATACCGATGATTTTAATTTCATTTATTTATCTAGCACAGCTACCCGTGCCTTAGTCTTTTGCTACATAGGAACTTTATCATTTTAAACTAAATTTCAAGTACAGTATTTAATTAGTGTTTGGGTGTTACTTAAGAGGCATGAGCAGCTGCGTCTTGTTATGCATGTAATTACATTTACTTAGTAAATTTTTTGATGAGCTGGTTTTGTCAGTGAAATGTTCACTCTACACTGATAAGAAAAGTTTCCTGAGAAGTATTTAGATGTAGATACTATTTTCAAGAATCTTGATATTCATTCGTTAGTAGGAACAGATTATGTGACAGGAATATCACTTGCAGTAAGTCAAAGGAGTTCTGAATGCCCCAGATGTGTGTATTTGTAACCTTTTACGAAGTTTACTTAATAAATTGTATAAAACAATTTGACTTCTGACAAAGGGCAGATTATTTTACGATGGATACTATTCAGTAGCTCACCTGCATTGTTATTCTGACTCGTTTTAATAACCAGAAACAAACTGTAGGAAGTCTTCTCCAGATGTGTTTATAAGGTATATAGACTTGTTTCAGAACTAGTTAATGACTAGGATGTGATACACTGCTATTCTTGTTGTAAAATGTGCCTGTCAAGGGAAAAAAGTAATAATGTGGACATTAATATGCTCAAGAGGAAAGGTTCCCAGAGGACCAGGAGAAAATGACTGTCTCATTGTGTGTATCAAGTAGCTAGGAAGTATTGATGTGCTTCCGAAGTAGCTGGTTGAATTTATTGGGCTTTTATGATGAGTTGGGTTTGTCTGCCAGCCATCAAGTCTTTTACTGCTGAATTTTGTTACTCAAATTAGTAAAGGAAGAGCCTAATTATGGAATAGTGTATACTACATATAAAGTAAATGTGGTTTTTTCCATGAAAATTTTACCTTTTTAAAAAAATTAAATTCTAAATATTTCTAGACTTTTTTCCTAGAATTAAATTCCATATTTGTTAGAAGTTAAGTTACTAAGTTCTTCTGGAGCTTAGCTTTCTGAGTTAAATCATTGATTTGGTTAAATGTGTGGGTGATCTTTCTCTTACATCATGAAGACAGGATTTCACTGTGTGTTACTGTCTTGTTTTTCTTACTCCCCATTAATCCCCAAAGTGGAATAAGTGATGCAGTTTTCTTGGTGTCTTCAGTGGGCAATAATAGTCCATCAGTTAATTAAGGTTCAGAGACACCAAGTTGCCCAAAATCTGGTGGTATACAGAGAACATCTGTAGGGGTTTTATTTCGTTGGATTAATCTGCCCTTACTTCCAGTGGCTGGTGGAAGAAAGTGTCTCGTTTTAGGAGAAGAAAAATATCTGAATTATTGTAGTTTTGACTGATTATCTAGATGTTTTCCTAGCCTCCTGACATCCAAGGAAAAGAAAAAGATTATTCATCTGTTACTGTGTCTTTATGTTAAGCTGACAGCCTGAAAGTTAATCTGTTCACTGTCAAGCTTTTCATTCATGAAAACAAACCTAAACAATGTTTATTAGAATAAAATAAGTATGTTTGGAAAATATGGGATTCTGTGAACATTTCTGAATCTTTAATAAATTTTTCAGCGTGGATTTTTAAAACTGGCTAATAATCTGTACATCCAAGTTGTTATCCCATAATGTATGTGTTTTTAAAACTAAAAGCCTAGAGCAATCACCTTAGAATTAAGGCAACTTCAAGTCAGTTAGGAACCATTTGAGAAAAATTAAGTTTTATGCTATCTAATAACAGTATTGTAGAAAGCATTGCTGACTTCATTTGCACATAAAATTTGTCACACCAATTTTAATGTAAAGGAAGTATACCTTTTTAAAGGTGGTTGGTAGGCATATTTTATGTTTGTTATTTTATATTCAAAAATTTTGAACAATCAAAGATTCTCACATGATCAGTTTTTTATTTTAAAAGTTACTGGCATATAAATCCACTTTAAATGACTGAAAACATGTCAGTTCAGATTAGCTTTCAGAAGATCAACCACAGAGTGGCGGAAAAATGAAAAAGTTTTTTGAACTGTGAAAGCCCTTCCACACCTTCTGTAAACATTAAATTATTTTGATGTAAACACACTGATGTATTCTAGTAGATTAAAATTTCCAATTGCTTGTATTTTCTGGGTACTGTGATAAGTTGTTTGATCTGAATGGATTACTGTCTTTTTGTCTGTGTTTATTGGAGAACTATATGCATTTCTGTTGTGGGAATAGATTTATTTTCTTTCCCCCTCCTTGCATTAATGTTATCATTCCTCCATCCTTGAATAAAACATATCCCAGAACCTGGTGCTTAGGCCAAATGTTGGACAATGCAGTGTACCTTCTCCTCCCCAATCGTGCTCCATGAGTGAATTGGAGAACTTTATATTTCTCTAATATTTTTGAAATAAGAATGTTTTCTTTTTAAAAGGCTAAAAGATTTATGAAAATCGAGATACATAATAAAGTATTACAGATCCAACTGTTTTTCCGCTTTGATACACTGAATCATGACTCTTTTTCACAGTTAAACAAATATAAACAAAGTTTAAATCTGGTTGCAAATCCAAAGCCTTGTTTATCTACACTGTTTTGTTTGTAGTGGTTTAGCTGAATCACTCAGGTTGCACATTTAGGGAAGAATATCACTGTGTGGGAAGACCAGGCTAGATTTCTCAGCAGTCTTTCATGACTTTTGTTATGAGCATCTTTGAGAGTAAAACTGTGGTCAGATGCCAATGATACTATGGTTGTGTGAAACCCTTCCTTTTCTCCCCACTGCCAAGTGTTTACAGTCTTTCTGGATTCTAGTGGATTTTGAGTCTCTTTAGTTGTTCTTAATACACTGGAAACAGGAGACCATATTCTACAGTATTGACTTCTGGTTAGTGTGGTACTATAGAAGGTTCTTTCTCTGCTTTTGCCAACATATTCACCAGTGGCTTATTCTGTGAAGATAGCAGTTGTTTACTTTCACATCTGTTTTCAGTGTGGAGTAATGTTCTGCTCCTCTGTACAAAGCACCATTAAAAAGGTTTATTTTGGAGAACCAAAGCACATGTTTGGACAAAGAGTATCTTGTTTCAAGCATCTCTACAGTCCAGGTGCAAGGTAATTGGTTCTCAACATGTGATGGCCAGCACCCACCTGTTGTATTTTATTAGCCATTTATAAAATCTGCGAGTAGTAAGTTCAAAAAACTCCAAACAAACAAACAAAACCTATATACAGTTTTGCTTTGGGCAAGTCATTATCACTGTTATTTGGTTATAAAGGATACTTCTATAGGTTGTTATGAATACGATCAAATTGCTATGACCTTTAACAGATTTTATTTAGTCCTGTTTTGTGTACAGGGAAATATCAAGTATGAGGAAGGTCAGGGAAATTGCTCCAAGGCAAATCAGTTTAGATACTTGGTAGGTTTTTATGGAATATTGATCCCTCCCTGTCTTACAACTGTGTGTTTAAACTCTGATTTTCAATATTTCTCAGCAGTGCAACAACTGATGCAGTGACAAATTGTGTTCCATGGTTGGCTAGAAAGCAGAGAATGAGAGAAAAAGCACCAGCGTAGCACTAGGCATACTGTTCATAAAGTAGGATAATGCTCAAAAATGGGAATAACTGGGATTTTGTTTTCTCTGCAGGATTTTTTAATGCACGTCTTACCCCTGCACTCATGCATACTACTGTACATCTAGTGCACACAGTATTTGTTGTCACACAGTAAAACGCATGACAGCTTAGCTAAACAAATATAGCCAAAGTGTTGTTATACATAGGGAATCCAAGGGTTTAAAATAACTTCATTGGCCAAATCAGTAATTTCTTACGGTAATGGCTTACTTTTATTTATTCTTAGGGTTGTGAATCATGTGGAAAGACTGGGGCAAAGCTAACAGAGCCAAAGTCAGTAATTGTTCCCCTGTCTGTCAAAGCTCAATTAAAACTTCTGAAGCAAAGGATATTTTCTAAATAAGCCTAACAAAGAACTTTTTCATGACTCTTCTGGTTATGATATGTAAGTCTAGTGGAACTATTTGCAGTAATTATATAACTAAAAACCCCAACCAAACAAAAGAATACTAAATTGTATTTTTGAGAAAAGAAGTAAAATTTGGAATAACTGTCTGCTCTGATTTTAACCTTTTGTGTTCCAGGATTTGGTAGAACAGTGCTTTGTTAGACAATGTAAAATGTTGGAATGTTAAAATCGACATTTTCAAGAAAATGCAGCCCACCAGTGTAAGAACAACCGTAGTGAATCAGACCATCAGCTGTTCATCCATGCAGAAAATCACATCTTTTGTGGCTTCTTAGTTTTCTTAAAACTCGTTCACAGCCTATTAGCAGTCCAATAGGCGGTCACCTTGAGCTTCCTGATGTATTTTTGTGATCTCTGTGCAGAACTTCAGTAAGCATGTGAGGTGTGATTCCCCTTTATAAAAGCCATACTGGCCTATCACCAGTGCGTCTTTGTTGCAATTTCTATAATTTGGCTAGTATAGCCATGAGCCTTGACAGT